CTCAGGTCCTTGCACTTGCGCAGCAGGCAGTGAAACCACTGAGCTAAATCCCCAGCCCATGTCTCCTTTGTTTTTAATAGGATACTTTTTTTTTTCTTTTTTGGTACCAGGGATCAAACTCGGGATCTTGAGCTTTCGAGGCAGGTGGCGGAATCACTGAGCTAAATCCCCAGCCCAGCTTATTTTGTTTTTAGAGACAGGGTCTTGCCATGTAGTTCAGGCTGACCTTGACCTCACTATGCAGTCCAGGTTGGCCTTGAACTCAGGGCATCCTCCTGCCTCAGCCTCCCAAGTGCACCACCACACCCAGTCCTTGATACTCTCATTTTTCGCTCATTGGTAACTGAACTTTTCAGAGCCCATCATCATGACATGAGCAAACATCTGTGCATATGTGGGCCACCTAAGCTCAGCTTCTACCCAAACCAGCAGGAGCATGGTGGTGCACACCTATAATCCCGGCACTTGGGAGACTGAGGCAGGAGGATCACTGTTGAGGTCAAGGCCAGCCTGCACCACAAATCAAGACCCTGTCTCAAATTTAAAAAAAGAGAAAAAAATTTCCAAAACAAATTGAACAATGAACAGAGTAGCCTTTTGTGTATGGGGGAGGGTAGCACCTTCATGCTGAGCTATATCCTCAGCTAAGGGGATTGAATTTAGGACCTTGAGCTTGCAAGGCAGGCATGGTGCCACTGAGTTAAATCCCTGGCATTTTTTTTTCCAACAGTACTTGGGACTAAACTAGGACCTTTACATTGAGGTATATGCCCAGCCTATTTTTTGTTTGTTTTCTTCAAATTTAGAGACAGGATCTCATTAAGGCATTAAGTTGCTCGGGGTGGGTTTGAACTTGTGGTCTTCCTGCTGCAGCCTTCCAGAGTGCTGAGATTATAGGTGTCCACCACTATGCCCCACCCAAGCAGGCTCCTTGGAGGGTTGTTATGCACATGGCTATGTAGGCTCTAGAGTGGCATCTGACAGACATCTGCCCAGCCTAGGCTGCAGGAAGCAGGAAGGGGTCATCAGCCGAAGGACGTCATGTGGGTGGGAGATATTGAGGGTTAGGATGGGCACCTTGTCAGGGGTCAGAGGGGAGGCTAGGCTCCTGCCTGGAGCAGCTGAGGCAGCATGGCTGCATGGGCTCTGGACCCTCCAGAAGAGCTCAGCCACAGACCCTACACCTCATCATATGTGGCCTGTGCTCTGGAAGGTTCTTCCCAGCTGCCTTGGGCTAGGTGGTAAATCACAAGTTCGCTGCATGAGATTCTTGGCCCAGAGGTTTCTCTCAAGTATACCCTGGGACAAGAACTGGGGTTCACAGGACCTGCCGCTGCAGGTGGTCGTGTGTTTGTTAAATGAACAAATAAATTAACTGAATTCACAAATTAACTGAATTCACAGGCATTACCTTCACAAAAATCTTCAGCCACTCCCTAGAGCTATGGCAGGACAACACTCTGCCTCTGGCACGTTTTGGGGTCGGGCTCAGGCCTGCTCTTCCCCACTACAGGTCCTACACAGAGGACCCCAAAGAGTCTATCAGGCAATGTGAGCTGCTCCTGGAGGAGACAGACCTGGACAGCACCATCCGCACTGGGGACATCTTTGGCTTCCTAGTGGAGCGCTATATGCAGATGGAGGACTACCAGATGGTGAGATCACTCTGCTGTCCTGGGGCCTGAGTCCCCATGCCTGAGGGCTCAAACTTGGGGGGGTCAGAAAAGACTATCAGTTACAGTTTTCTTTGATGTTACATTTTGTTTTTGTGTCCCCCACACCCCTGTCTGAATATTTTATCTTGTAAAATCATTTTTATTAAAAAAGAAAAATTTCCTCATAAGAGACTCACTTGGCTCACAGCTTGCACCAGTGTTCATCACTGTTGCCAGCATTTGTGTGATCATTTTTGTTAGCCATCCTGGTGGGAGTATAGCGGTGTCACATTGTAGTGTTTTGGGTACTGTGGATTGAATCCTAGACCTCATGCTGGCTAAGCAAATGCTCTACCACTGAGCTGTACCTGCAGCTCTGTTTTATATTGAGACAGGATTTGGGGGGAGGGGGATACCAGTGATCGAACTCGGGTCCTTGCGCTTGTGGGGCAGGCGGTGGCACCACTGAGCTACATCCCCGGCCCAAGACAGGATTTTTAAAGTTCCCCCAGCCTCCCAGGTAGCTGGGATTTCAGGTATGCACCACCTCATTGTGGTTTTATTTTACATTTCATTGGTGACTGATGTTGAGCATCTTCTCATATGCTTATTACCCATTTGTGTATCTTCTTTTGTGAAGTAGTCAAACCTTTCCTTCATTTTAGTTTTTTCTTTGTATGTTCTAGATACATTTCCTTTACCTAATACATGACTTGTAAATATTTCCTCCTAGACTATAAAGAAGTCTGCTTCTGTTCCTTCTCTGTCCTCTCCTCCTGGAACTTGCAGCTACTTTGTAACTGATGTCCCCTAGCTCAACTTACTCATTCTTCCTTTTCACCCATTATTTTGTTTTTCAGGTTAGATAGTTCCAAATTTCATTTCTTCAAGTTCATACTCTTTCCTTCCACAATGTCTATGCTGATGTTAATCCCAATTTTTCACTTCAGATTTTATAACTTTCATCATCTTGTCTGATTTGACATTTTCCCAACTGAGGAGATGCATAAGCTGGGCCCAGCTGTGTTCAAGTGTGCACAGGCCTTTCTGACCAGAGGTGCTTTTCTCACCTCCCAGTTAGCTCTTCACTCTTCCCTCCTTCCCAGTGTTGGCCTTCCTTGAATTCTGCCACCAGAAGACCCCAGCTTCTGCTGCCCTTGGCCCATTCTGTCCTGAGCTCCTTTGTACCTGTGTCCCACACACCTAGCACAGTGTTAGCAGCCTGCAAATGTCCAAAGAAACCTCTTCTAGGATAGTGTGAAACCTTGTGCATGCTCACTTAGCTGTCCTGCAACCCCTGGCAGAAGTCTCTGAACACAGTTTGATCCTTGATGTTGTCAAAATCTACCATCTTTACAGATATATTTATTAGTTATACCTGTCCAAAACAAAATTGTTCTAAGAGTTTTACTGTCCTTAAGAAATACTAAGATCTGTGCTCAGAGTGGATATGCTTTTTTGCCATTCAGGGTTATTTTATATCTACATTGTGTTGATTCAATGGAAATCAAACTCTAAACAATAGCTGCAGATGCACTAAACTTTCCAAGTTATTATCAAGAAGCTGACATTTTACCTTTTTGGGAGGAAGGGAGGTCCAGGGGTGGGGTTCATGCTCATGCTAATTAAGTGCTCTACCACTGAGCAACGGTCCCAGCCCAAAGATTTCACTAGGAATGGTCCTGTTTCTGGAGATGTAATTACAGTTGAGGTGGGGAGTGTGGCTCAGCAGCAGCACTTGCCTCATATGTACAGGCCTCGGGTTTGGGTCCCAGCACCACAATCCATTAGTCAGCCTTGGCGTATCCCTCTGCTATAACGCAGAGCAGTTGCTGATGCCTCAGACTGAGAACACAGTAATCACCTTTGGAAGTACCTAGCATTGCTTTGTACCAATTTCTCTGTAGTAGTTTCTGCTGTTACTGTACATAGTCATCACTTGGCCAGCAACTGTTTGTATTACTTGTATAATTGTGATATGCTCTATGAAATAAACTTGAAAGCCTCTGGGGAAAAAAAAAAGAAAAAAGATCTGTGCTCACTTCGGCAGCACATATACTAAAAAAAAAGAAATACTAAGATCTAATTCTCCTAAAAAAATTTTTGTTGTTTAAAAAAAAATTAAAGCTCCTTGAAATTTTGGTTACATTCTAAATTCTTATGTACACAAGGCGCCATTCCTCCTCCTGCATTTGTGTAGTCCTCCTTGAGGATGAATAAATGTGAGCATGTCCTCTCTGCCAGAGGCCCGTCCTATCTTGCCTCAGGACCCACTTTGAGCTGCTGAGCGCCATCCCTGTGCCTGCTTGAGTATTCCCACTGGCAAAACCAGAGAAAATCTCACAGGAAAACCATTTATGGTTCAATAGTTTACTGGCCTAGTATCATGGACCCTTCATACAGGAGACTGATTATAGGCCCAATAAACAGGGATACATTTGATGCTTGATTAAAATGACCACAACAAATCACTAGTACCACTGCTTTCCCTCCATTCTGAGAAGCATATGCCCCAGGCAAGATAAAAACTGAGAGCTCACTTTGCCCTTACCACTAAAGGAACCCCAGGGTGAGGGAATAGAAGGAATATGACCCTAGGACTCAAATCACAATCTTGCCTACTGGCTACCAAAGGACTCTCAAAGAATCCAGTTTTTAGCTCTTTATACTGATCACAAGTTAGTGTTAACCATTCAGAATCTGCAACATGTGCTACCCTGAAAGACCAGTCCCCTTATAAATACCAGGAAGCCTCAGACCAGTGAACCCATGTGCCCTGTTGCAGGAAGGCATACTTCCCTGTCTTTTTTTTTTTTTGTGGTACCAGGGATCGAACTCTGGTCCTTGCAGCAGGCGGCAAAACCACTGAGCTAAATCCCCAGCCCTTTCCTGCTTTTTCTTGACCCTGAGGTGGAGAGCTGGGTACTTCATGTTTAGGACACTTGGTTACAGTGAACAAATATGGCTCCATTGGTTCTCGTTGGACTAAACATGAGAACCATGTGGTTGTCATGTCTGCTGGATCCCCCAAGTAACCACTGTCATCTCTGCCCTAGGCCTACCGGTACCTGGAAGAGATGCGGAAGAAACTCCCTTCTGCCAACATGGCATACTACGTGGATCAGCGAACCATGGACACCGTGTACCGGGCCCTGGGCCTCCCTCTGACACACATGCTACCTGAGCGGACCCACCACAACAGCATAGAGGACCAGGAGGAGGTGGTAGAAGAGGTAGACAATGACCCTTGAGGGATCTCAGTACCTAGCCACCTGACCTGTCTCCTGCTCCTCCTGGGAAAGCTGCTTCTGGAATCTTCCAGGCATCAGTAGTGGCAGAGGCAGCTTTTATGTTGAAAACCCCAATTTATTGTCACATCTAAGCAGGGCTGGAGGAACAGGAGGGAGCACTGCTCTGTCTTCTCATCTCCATGTACAAAAGGAAGGCAACCCTGTATTTTCAATCATCCCCCAGTACTCCTGCCTCTGGCAGCTGGGTGGCTCCCATGGATTTCTGGTTTAGCTCCTTTGAGGGAACTTGGATTCATCTTTTCCATGTTTTACCAACTAGACTATGGAGCCTAGGAAAATTCTAGAACTTCACAACTGAGACTGTACCTGGGGGTTGGAGACACCTGTTACTAACTATACACAATAGGCTACTTCCTAGCAGGGATCACCATGGCCAGGCCTGAGCCCTGACAGCTGTGTGCTTTGGTCACCAGCATGGGGAACAGGTATACCAAGCCCTACACATTGCCTGATGACACTCCTATGACTCATAAAGGCTATTTTCTGAGACCCGTGTCGTTATTCCCCACTGCACCTGAGTCTGTGTAGAAGCTGACATCTCCACCCATTGAGAACCACAAAGGAGGGCTTCATGACACTGCTGCCCTGTTTATTCTCCCAGGGACCCAGTGATGAGAAGCCCACAAGAGGGCCAAGTCTGCTCTGCTGGTCTGGCACCCCCACATGAGGGTGTTGGGGCCCCTGAACAACTACCTCCTCTTCCATTCTATGGCTTTCTCAGTGTAGTTTCCCTCAACGTAGCTCCAGTACAGCATTCTGGCTGCCCTATCCTGTGGAAGGCAGTGTGAGGCCTTGCCAGGCTATAGGCAGCTGTAGGGGTGGGGTGCAGGCTTTGTTGCATGTGCGCACAGTACCCCATCACCATCCAGACCTGGGTGTGCTCCATAGCCCAGAGGCTGCCCCAGCTCCATTCTTTGGACCCTCCGTCTTCCTGGTGGCAGTGGTCCAGCTGGGCCTTGAATAGTGGGAAGCCTCGAGGACTAATGAGAGAGGGGAAGGAGCCTGTCCTTGAGTCTCTCCAAAAGCAGCAGAGCCCTCACTGCTTGCTCCCTGCAGTCCTCATCCACATCCTTCTCAGCCACATCTGCCAAGGTAAGAAGAAGCAAAAGAGTAGTGCTGCAAGTGTTCTGCATTACCTCTCCTTTCATTATGAGGCCTTCCCTGTGGTGTTCTCTCACGCCTGACGAAAGGCTCTCTACTGGGCTGGGGATTTAGCTCAGTGGTTCCGCCGCCTGCCTTGCAAGCGCAAGGGCCCAAGTTCAATCCCCAGTACCAAAAAAAAAAAAAAAAAGGCTCTCTACTGTATCCCTCTGTGGGCCTTATGATCAGCCAGGTGATGTAGATGCCTCCTTCGGAAGGGAGGGCCCAGCAATGGGCAGGTCACATGGCCAGCGTACAAGTCTGCTGGACACCAGTGTGGAGTTGGTGCTGGTGCCCCCACCACCAAGCCTCACGTAAGTACAGGAAAGATGGACCAGGGCCTATGCATGAGCTTGGAACTCTCCCTGCAGCACCTCCTCTGCAGACTGTGCAGAAGAAAAGCCCTAAGGAGTTCACTAAAGGGGCCACCTACCACCTGGTAGTCAGATGTTACCAGCCTGGGGAAGGCTTGGGGAAGGCTTAGGGAAGGAAGCGGGTCTTGGGGTCTGGAATCACAGACTGCCCCATTACTCTTGGGGGATGGAACTACCATTCAAGGGCTCTCACCATTGCCTCAGTCTTGGGACCTGGTGAACTACCAGGAAGCTCCACTATCACCAGGTTACTTCCCAAGACCAGAATGAAACTGCAGGCAAAGGAAGATCCTTTCAGAATGATGACCTGTGCCCAATGGTGGTGCTGCCCTGACCCTGTGCCTCCCTGTCTAGATATTCTATCCATGGGGTTCCCCGGGCAGTCATGTGGGTGAAGAGTGGGCTGTCTATAGGCCTAGCTCAAGAACTTGGAAGGGTCACAGTGTCTACAGCTGACTTTTTTAAAAAGGGAAAAGAGACAAGACATAGCAAAACACTGTACTGGTGAATCTGGGTGGAGGTTCCTGCCATTCTTCTATCCACATCACCTTTTTGTATATGGGATTCATCTGAAGGGACCTCTGCAGGATTCCCCAAAGTGACCATGACAATGACATATCCCCCTCATGCACACTACATGGGCCACTGTGATGCTCAGCACAAGCAAAGATTCAGACTGGTTAGCCCATACCTGGGCTGCTCTAGCCACTTCACGTGCCTTGATGACCTCCTGCCCCTGTTGACACAGCCCGGGCCGACACTCACCTGCCAACCAGGACCTGGCTTCCAGCAGCTCATCAGACAGGTCCCCTAGCAGTCGCTCAGCAGGTACACTGAGTAGGATGGAAGATACAGCAGACAGTAGGCCCCTGCGCACATAGCTACCAAGCAAAAAGTGGGAAAGGTGAAATACAGCTTTAGGGATGGAGCTGCAAACTGACACGGCTGGCACCACAGGGACAGCACCCTGGGTCAGGGAGACCTCCCACCCCCCCAAGTCCAGCAGACCAACTTGCAACAAGCACACAGTCCTGTACACCCTTGGCCACTAGGCCCACTTCCTATTTAGAAAAGGCCAGGCCAAGCTGCCCTGGAGATCCCACCCTGCCTCAGCCCCACAAGCAACTTACATGTCAACATGGAAACGAAGGACCCACACAAACTCCAGCAGGGCCTTGCCCATGGACACGGCCACCTGAAGATCACCAAGGGGACAGTGGGCAACATGTCCACCATGCTTGTTCCCAACATCTGAAACCCAATAGGGTGGCCGCAGGGCTCGGGCTCATCGGAGCTTATCAGAGCTAAGAGTTGTGTTTGATGCCTTATGGGGCATCCCACAAGCCTGTCACCAGGACTCAGGTGAGGGAACGATGAGCTCCAGTGTGAAGTGCTTCATGTCTATGACCTTGGCCATATTCCCCACCCCCCAGCCCGAGGCAGGACACACAAAGCTCAAGCCTTTTGTGTGAATGCTCAAGGTAATTCCTACACGCCATTGCTGTGAATGAGACATGGCAGGGCCTTCAGCTCACATATCCCAACTCACTGTGGTGTTAATAGCCAGGTACATCAAGGCCGCTAAGGTGTGAGTCAGTCTTCCAAGAACCAACTGGTCGTCTCCCAAAAGATCAAAGGTCACCAGAGGCCTACAACATAGAATTAAGGAAACATTGCAGCCCCAGCACCTCAGGACTGGCTGCCTAACCCCTTGAGCTGCTGGGGGAGACCTCAGGGCTCTGGAAGCTCCACAGAGCCCTACTTTGGTCACCACCCTGGCCCCAAACGGCACCAGGAGGGCCACAAGAAGAAGGCTTTTGGACCCCAAGTCAGGAATGCACCTTTCTCCACCACTGCCTGCCAGTAGGGGAGCCCAAGTCTGCCTGCTGAGCTGGGAGGAGGTGAACAAGTGAAAGCACACTTACAGCACCACCAACTTCTTTGTAAACCCAAAATCCAGGGGCACAGACTAAGGCCCTTCCACAAAGCTCAATGACAAAGGGAAACTTCGAGAAAATTCCATGTCAAAAGCTTTGTAAGCAACACACTCCTGCCCAGAGTCCCACCTCAGACCTTATCCTGCAACTCCACCTGTCCATAGGGCTATGCCAAAGGGTCCAGAAAACATGCTCACCTGTCGAAGTGTTGAATGAGGGGGAAGAAGAAGTATCCAGCCACAGAGTTGAATTCACTGGGGCTACTTGCCAGTTCCCTCCGGGGAAAGCCCTGCTAAAAACATATGTGCATTCAGAGGTTTGAGGCCCCACCCACTCTCTGCAGGTCACCTAAGCCCAAAGCTGCATAGGCCAGGCCTTGTGCTGAGTTCCCAACCTCCTCCTCCATGGCCCTATACAGAGGGCAGTGGGACTCAAGACTGCTGCAACTGGGAAAATGCCTGGGGCCTGGAACAGGGAGTCCTGACCCTGTTCATGTAACATTCAGGATGGACAGTCCTTGTGGTAGGCCGTCCTGGGTGCTGTGAGATGCTGAGCAGCCTCTTGGCCTCTGTCCCACCCCCATGGTCACTAAAACAGCCTCCAGACATCTCCTGACATCCCAAGACAGGGCAAGACCACCATGGTTGAACACCCTTGGCCACCCACCAGGTCATCAGTTTCTGACCTAGCACTCCTGGGACCCTTTCACTTCCATATTCATATTCACATCTTTAAACCACACTGGTCTCACTAGGCTCAGTTTGCAACATAAACTGTCTCTCCTTGGAGCCCTAACACTGGCACCAGGATCCAGCTGCCGTCTCAGTTTGGATGTTGCCTGTAGGGATATGACTACTCATTTGCCACCCCAAATCCCCACACCTACAATGACCTGACCAGAGTCCCAGCTGACCTTGGAAAACCGCCGGGTCTTGCTTCTGATTCTCTCTTCCACAACTGTTCGCCAGCCAGAAACTCCAGTGCAGTCAGCCTGAGAGGTAGCCAGTACTGGGGCTCCAGAGCCACAGGACACCTGCTGGGTAGGCCTCTTAAGGTGCCCTGGCCGAGATAGCTCCTGGGCTGACAGAGTCAAGACCTAGAGAAGAAGGACCCAGGGTAGTGCCACAGCTCTGAGAATGATGTAAAAAGTTATCAGCCAAGTGCCCACAGAACCCAGACTAGCAGCAGTAGCCAGCATCCCAGGGGACTTCCAAGTGTCTCTGAAGCTCTGTACTCTACTGGGCAGGTGGCTGGGAGTTCCCTCAAGACAAGGAACACCCAGACTCGGGGACCATCCTCCCTAAACCTGTCTCAAAAGACAAAAAATAAATAAAACTAGACAAAGGAGTCTTGTACAACACTGGCAATATGCTGAACATCACTTGATTGTTCACTGTGAGATGATGCATTCTTGCTGTTTTCTTAGATGGTAAAACATAAAATTCATCATTTAACACTTTTTTTTGAGACAGGGTCTCACTAGGTAGTCCAGGTTGGCCTTGAACTCATGGCAATCCTTCTACCTCACCCTCCCAAGTGCTGGATTAGAGGCATACATCACCATGCCTGGCCACTTTAACCATTCTTCAGCATACACCTCAGTGACATTAAGCACATTCACATGCAGTTATCACCATCCATCTATAGCACTTTTCAGTTTTCCCATGTGGAAACTCTGTCATTACACACTGACCACCCCAGGCCCTAGCAACCACCCTCTGTGCTTGCCGACCCTGGACAGTTCACATGTATGCAGTCACACCCCATGTCCTGTGGCATTAACATGTTGTTGAGGTTCATTCATGTTATAACATATGTTACACCTTTATTCTTTTTTGTAACTGGATAATGTCCAGCCATAGAAGACCTTTTTTTGGTTTTTGAGACATAGTCTCGCTATGTACATAAGTACTCCAGGCTGGCCTTGAACTCATTATGTAGCCCAGGCTGGCCTCAAATTCACAGTGATCCCTCCTGCCTCAGCCTCCCAAGTACTGGGACTATAGGCATGCACCACCACCCCCAGCTTGTTTACCTTTATTTTTTTTTTTTTTGAGTTTTTCCATTTTTAATATTTGGTTAAACAAAATACATCTTTTGTAAACAAACCCAGCACAAGGCCAACAAAAAAAGGGAACAAAAGCAAGAAAAACAAAGCCTAGGGTTGCCCCTTACTGGGCATCAGGGTCAGGCCTGCTCCCTTCCTTAAAGGAGTGGCCTTTCTGCCCTTGGGCATCAGCATGGGTCCCCGTTCCTAAGCACCAGAATTGGATATGAACAGAGAAACCAGCCCTGAAATGTTGAAGCGTCTTTGCACATTCCATTGGCTCGTGGACTCCATGTGCATGGGACTCTGAAGTGCCATTTGCACAGGCCCGAGAAAATTTGTGGAGAGGAGTTTCCTCCTCCCAGGAAATGGCTTACTATCACTGACAGTGCCAATGGACCCACAGTCCTGCTTGTGACAGTCAGCAAGGTTGGCTGTAACTTCCTGCCTGGTGTGGTTGGAATGTCACTGTGCAGGGGGAAAGAGCTCCCTGTGGTGCCAAGCAGGTCTGGTGTATAAAATGGTGCAGAAGAGACCATCGCCAGTTGCTGAGAGGGCATAATGCAGTTGCCGCTTGGGGCCTCTTGTTACTCGGCATAAAAAACAGCCTTGTTGGATTGAAGATACATGTGCAGAAAAAGTGCTGGTGTAAACAGGCACTCCAGTCACAGTGGGGAGCAAACCTAGGCTTCCCCTGTGAAGCTTGCTGAGGATCAACATGCAAGCCCCAGGCTGGCTCTGCTGCTGGAGAGAAGTCTGGCCAGTGGGGCAGCCTTCCAACCTGCCAAGACCATGGATCTGGAAGGGCTGGCCATGTCACCCCTACCTGCCCACCTGTTCTGTTGTTTACCTTTAAATGATGAATTTTATAGTGCCTAAAATACATCAGTAAAACTATTACTTAAAATGAAGAACTCAGTCACTGGAGCCCCAGCCCCTGCACTGGAGAACACAGGCTCTGCTCACATGGTACACTGAGGCTGCCCAGAGTTCTTAGGTCTACAACAAAGAAGCCTGGAGAGCCCTTTGGTCACTGTCCATGTAGACTTTTTTTGATACCAGGGATCGAACTCTGCACCTTGCTCTTGCCAGGCAGGCGCTGTGCCGCTGAGCTAAATCTCTGACCCTGTCCATGTAGATTTTTGACCTCCCCACCTTAAGGTAACTTGGACCTGACCAGGGTGCGGGGCGGGGGGGGGGGGGTGTGCAGGGCACTTACATCCAGGATATCCAAGCGCTGCCTTAGGCTGTAGTTCAGGGCGTAGAACTGTGAGGTCAGATATTCAGCCACCTGAGCCCAAAGGAGAGGCTACTGTGGACCAGGACCCCAAAGGCCCTCCAGGTACCACACAGCCAACCCAGGCACAAAACAGGCCCACCTACACTGGGACTCACCCGGGCTGGGTCCATGACTATGACAGCCACCAGGGCTCTCTGGCGCAGACCCTCAAATCCCGACACACAGGTCCTCTCCTCCAGGTGCAGCAGTACCTTGGCTAGCTCCACACTTACCTGTACTCAGGGGTCAAGAGTCAGGGAACCTTCAGGTTCTGGCCACCTAACCCAGTGGCCCCAATGCTGCCCTCAAATCAGAGCTCAGGCTCCCTGCCTGCCAGCCCACCCCAGCAGAGACTAGGTCACAGGCCTAGGGGACACAGCAGACAGCAGGATGCTCCACCCTTCCATGGCCCAGGATGTAGATGGCACCGAGGACTTGCCACCAGAGAACTTTCCAACCTCCCCCTCTTCCCTGACAACCCACACTGCTTACCTCTCGAGTGGCCTCAGGGCTCCTGTACACTAGACCCTCAAGGGCCCGCAGGGCTGCCTCCCAGCGCTCCATATCTTCAGATGAGGTCAACACTGCACAAAACCCACACACGATCCAGTCAATATCAGCCCTAACCCTGATAAGCTGGGAGAAGGAGAAGCTGGGAGGCCAAGGGTGTCAGGACAAGGCCTGGCAACTGGCTCCAGGACAATATGAAGATGGGGCTCAGGAACCTTCAGAGATCTGCCACCCCAGTTAGGCCCACCTTCCATGCAGTCCCGGACATACAAGGGTGCCTTGTTGCTCTTCAGCTCTATGTCCCCTGACATGTCATAGGGGATAAACTCATCGTCACTGTGACAAAATAAAACAGACACTGGAACCACTCACCCTAATGGGAGAAAGCTCAGCCTCCATGCCCCTTCAACTTGCCCGTCCTCAAAAGCACATCCTAATGATGCTGGACATTAATATTCTCACAGCCCCGAAGCTTCAGGGAGCACTGAGAAGCTGAGGCTGCAGCACGCCAGGGACCCCACAAGCACTTGTTGAGCATGCTGAGCGTGAGGACATGGGCAGCACACAACCCCAGCAGATGCCTCCTTTTGTGCTGACCTGTCGAGAATCTCCTACCATCCAGGCCACAGAGCTACCCCTCAGCCATCATTTGGGCTCAGCAGAGACTAGAGGAGCCCTGCCCTACCTGTCCAGGTCTGAGTCAGAGCCTTGTGGCCCAACTTGGGGGTCACTCCCGTTGGCAGACTCTACACCATCATCCATGGTCTTTGCAAGGGTCTCTGAGGCAGTGGGGGCTGGTGCTGAACCTCTAGGAAATGAGGAGAAATACAGCCTTCAAGGGTCACCCATGTCAGCATCAGGCTTATCACTTCCCACAGAGACGCCCCTATCACTTCTACCCATATCCTCCCTGACTTCTGCCCTGGGGACTAGAATCCAGAATGACAAGACACACTCAGGGTGGGGATGGGCATACGGAGATCCTCACCCTGCCAATACGGTGCTGCTGTCCGAAGTCCCGGGGATGGCCAAGGCCAGCAGCTCACGGCTCAGCTCATCATCTTCATACTACAAGTACAGACACTGGAGTGACACCTGGCAGCTTACAGAGGCCACTTCATCACCGACAGATACAGCAGAGCCAGGTCCTCCTTTCCAACCATCCACGTCTCACTCAGCAGCCTTCCCCCACAGCCAGTCACCTTTGCTCTTTTAAAACACTTTCTAGGGCCAGGGATTTAGCTCAGTGGTTCCGACGCCTTCTCGCAAGCGCAATGTCCTGAGTTTGATCCCCGGTACCAAAATAAAATAAAATAAAATAAAATAAAAAACCTTCCACATGTTCACCTCAAGCTGAAGCCAGAAAGCCACTTGTTCCTGAGGAAATGGGGATCCCTAGGGGATTGACACCCATGAGGACTTCCCAAGAACTCAAGATATAGAAGAAAGGATGTCTGCCAGCACATAGAAGGCCAGGCAAGTGAGGAACCTGTGCTGGACATGCCAGATGGTTCCTACTCAGTGGGCAGCAGAGAGGCCGATCCCCTACTGCCCACTAAGACCAGCCCTAAGGCAACAGCTCCCTTCATCCCACCTCCCTTGGATTCCTACATAGACAAAATCTGGAAAGGTATCCAGGGATTCTTCCCCTTCGAGCACGTGCTCATGCTTGCCCCTGACCTCACATGGTCCCACCTGCTGCCCCTCAAGCCTTGGCCCTCAGGCCAAAATGGGACTCAAAAGCCCGGACCCCAGGAAGGTGAGATGCTTGTCAGGCTGGACTGAGAGCCAGGGTATCCCAGGGTTCCACCACCCAAAGAGGACACAGACAAGGTGACCCTGCTCACCTGGAATTTCAGGGGGGGGCCCTCAGGATGGATCTGGGAACTGATGATCTCTGCCACAATCATACCCAGGCGGCGCACAGTGGGAAGACTGCTGTCAAGGTGGCACTTCACACCTGCCATCATGCTGGCCAGCAATTCTGGAAGTACCAGACATGCACCCTGAGGGTTCCTTGAGATACCCAGGATAGGGGTGTGCTCACACAGCCTACTCACCATCCTGACTGTCCCGAAGCTCTGGCTCCCTTAGGTGTGCCAGGCAGATTAGGATGGCTGCGCTCAGATAGTGCTGCTGTGTCACAGGTGCATGTCGAACAGCACTGCTGCTGCCCCATGTCTCCAGCAACTCTTTCAGTGCCTGCAGGAAGCACAGCCCACCTGGTCAGGAAGCAGCTCTTCCACAGGCCAGACCATCCTCACCAGCATCCAGACCCTCCCACCCAAGACCTCTGCCCATTCCTTCCACATGGACAGCATAGGAACCAGAGACAGAGCACTCACCTGTATAAGGAGCGGCCGCCGCTGGCTGTCCATGGCCAAATACCCCAGCAGGCTCTGAAGCATGGGTGTCTACAACAAAAGCTGGCATCCTGTCTACCAGACAGAGATGGCCCTCTGGCCAGATGCCACCCGCACAGGGGCTCCCAAGGGCCCAGAAGCCCAGGATGAAGAACAGGTCTGGACCAAGGGCAGGGGACAGGGAGTGCAGAGGCTACCCTTCACCTCCCAGTAAGAGGGACCCACCAGGAAGCTCTACTCTCCCACAAGACTGGAAGCATGAGCTTCTCAGGGGCATGCTCCACTTCTGCATTCATCAGTTTGGGGACATAATTTTCTAAGGAAATTTTCCATTTCATCCAAGTTTGAAATCTGACTGCCATTCAGCTATGTGCTATCAGATTTCCTGGTTCCATTTCATAGTAGAGGTCGCCCTCTCCACTGTAGGGTTGGGCTTCTCAGCTGCTTTTGACTCTACACATCTTGCACCAGCTTCCACCCCAAATAAACCTAATGCCAGCACAGCCTGCCTGGCACCAGCTTCTACTTTTCTCTGGGTTCCTTCCTTTTTTTTTTTTTTTGGTACTGGGGATCGAACTCGGGTCCTTGCGCTTGCGCAGCAGGTGGCAAAACCACTGAGCTAAATCCCCGGCCCTGGGTTCCTTCCTTTTGATAGAACTCTAAGATGTGATTCTCGACTCACATTTCTGTTTACCTCTCTCTTCTTTATTCAAACAGTACAGGAGGTGATAAATTTCTCTGCTCATCCCTACATCAAGCTGATTCCACATGCTTTTATGTGGAACTATTTTATGATGTTCGGGTCTAGGTTCTGCCATTTTTGTTGTTTCTTCCTTGGTCCCTAAATGACTTCATTTAGCAGTAATGTTGTAATTGCTAAATTATTACTTTTTCCTACTGAATTCTAATTCAACAGCTTTGTCTGAAAATGACTGCTGAACCCTTCCTCTAGTACCTGCAGTTTTTGTTTTGTGGCCTTGTCCCATTGGTTTGCTTATGTTCCAACAGTGAACTGTGGGGTTTAGAGGCCTTGAATGTCCTTTATAACCATGGCTGTTCTCTTTTCAGGAGCCTGTGGGGTGTCTCTGGCTCACCTGAAGCCACATTTTCCACCTGCTCCTTGAACAAGGACTGAGTGTGCTTAAGCTCAGAGTTAAGCAACTTCCACCTTCTCCTAGTCATCCTGCAGTAATAGCCAGATGCTAGGCTCTTGAATTCCCAAGGGCTCTCCAGGATTCTACCCCGCTTCAATGCCATGCTGCCAGGTGAGAGTTAGTTTCATTTCCAAATTGGCCACTACACCTTTGATCTCCATACAGGGGCCAAAGTGAGTCTTGTTAACACAGCTCAGTCCGGTCACCTCTGCTCAGATTTTTCAGCTGCCTTCTTCAATCTGGCCTGCTCTCACTACAAGTCCTGCTCTCCTGCCCTGTGGTCACCAAGGGGCCTACTGCCACCTCAGGCCAACTGGCCTTCTTCCCTAATTGGTACCACAGTGCTCAGAGGCCTCCGCTTATTCCTGATCACACCCCTGCTCTGGGCTTGTCTCAGAAAAGACTCTGCAGACTCTGGGGCACTTGCTGGCCTGCTGGGCCCTGTCAGCACCAGACATGCCACACTGTGTATTAACTGTATGCATGTAGCATCTGCCTGCTTGTAACGTGAACTCCATGAAGGGGGACTATGGTTCTTCTGTCCTTAGCTGAACACTCAGCACCCACAGCAGAGCTTGGCACACAGTGGGTGTCTACCAAACATTAGGTGAATAAAAAAACAAGCAAGCTGCAAGGATGCAGTAGGCCCCATGCCACCCCTGGCCACTCTGTAGTCTGGGATTTTCTGTTACTGGCTCTCCCTGGCTCTGACCTGCTGGCCACCCTCTAGTCAGAAACAGGCCCCAGGCCCCAGGGACACAGCAATCATATCCTCGAGGTTGTGCAGACAAGGAGCATATAGCCTCCACGTCAGGACATGTTTACCCCCTCGTGCACATAATGCAGTCAGTAAAGGCATCCTCTTGGGTGGCATCCTCTCAGGTCCCTTGGTCAGGAGGATGGAAGGGCCTGTGAAGCTCTTACTTGGTGCCCAGGCCAAAGCAGGGACCATCAGCATGACAGGGACATGCCTACAACTTCCTGACATTTCCCATGCAACTGACCACTGCTCTAACTACACTCTGCTTGTTTTCTTGTGACACTGGGGGTGAAACACAGGGCTTTGTGCATGCTGAGCCTGAGTGTTTTCTCTAAGCTACACTCACAGCCCCTCTAACTCCCTCTTTTCACAATGGTTCTTCCTGTGACAGGACAGCCTACAGCCCATCCCCTGCCCATCACACTCACCGTGTGCTGGTACTGCAAGAACAGAAGCTTCTGGGTCATCACAAACTGGGCTTTCTTGCTCTTCACCACCAGGTTTCCCAGCAATCGTGACAGAACTTCAGGCCTGCTGAAGCAAGATCAAGAGGGGCCAGGGTTGCAAGGTGGCTGTGGATGTGGGGTCAGAGGTACTGGGAAAAACATGCACACAATGGTGACAGGCCTGGGCTGTGTCACCTGCTCACTGTGGGCCTTCAGGCAAGCCCTTTGACAACTCAGAGTTGATTCTTAGCCTTTCTTCCTCGAGGGAGAACCTGAGCCCCACACTAATCTAAGCACATTAACACAGGATGGCAAGCCCACCCTGAACAACCAAGTCTAGGGCCATGTGCTTCACGCAGAGCAGGACTCAGATCTTTGCTGTAAAGGGCCAGAGGGCACCTACTTTAGGTTGATAGACTAGTCCCCAGCAACAACTCAACTCTGTAGTCTAGGCTGAAAACAGCCCGAGGCAGATAGATAAATAAGTTAGCAGGGCTGTGTGCAGAAACATAAATAAGTTAGCATGGCTGTGTGCCAATAAAACTTTGTTTACAAAAAACACTTTGGCCCAAGGACAAGAATTTCCAGGCCCCTGATCTAGCTTGCAAGCAGAGCCTGCCAAACACCCCAGGCAGTGAAAAGAGACAGGCTTTCTCCCTTGTCACCGAAAATTCCACACAGAAACAAAAAAGTTTAAAAAAAGAAGAAAAAAGGAAAGGGGAAAAAAGCCCTAAAAATTTAGAGAAAGAAACTATGCAAACAGATGCTCAGCCTCAGCACAGGGAAGGGCTAAGCTGGAGACAATCCAAAAGACAGAGGAGATTCTGAACCCTGAGCAATGCTCTGGTGCAAAGTGCTCCTGATAGTTCGAAGCACATTACAAAACCCAAAGTCATGCCATTGGGAGAAGTCCTGGTATCTGGGGGGAGGGGGGCTCTTTTAAACACACCCCAAGAACATACATACACCCTCACCCAGAACCACAGAACACAAAGCATCAAAGTGACACTGGGGAGAGGCCTGTTTGAGGGCAGGCAACCTGGCAGTGCGTGTGAGTGTGCAGATATCCCAGAAGACTGCTTCCAGGAACACAACCTACAGATTCACCTACAACCCAGATTCACCTGCACACATGTATAAGAATGTGAGCAAAAGGAGCCACCATGACGCTGTGTCACAGCCAAAGCTAAAGACAGCTCACAGCCTGGAGGGTGGGACTGCACATCTCTGGAGGGAGGGTGCCATCTCAAATGGAGGATGAAGCAGGAAGAGATACACTAAAGATGAGGAATGTGTGTAAATAAACTCCTGCTGAGCCACCCTCCCAGGGCCTCTGTGGGCGATACTTCTCACACCCTCATGTTCTTCTTGAGCTATTGATAATATCTATACTGTTTTACTAAAAAACAAAAACAAAACCAAAACAGGACCCTTGCTTGCAGCACTGTAAAGAGCTGCAACCTGGACAGAGGTTGTGGTCCACATAGCATGGTCCTGGAGGCCTGGCCAGCTGGAGGTTGCTCTGTGCCATGCTGTGAATATGAATAGAGGCTCCAGGACCAGGCCAAAGGCGCTTCTGGTAACAACAAAAGGTGGTGCCATGGGCACATGCATTTGTACAACTGACCAACATGAAACAGCAGTGCTAAGGGGGGCTAGATACCTGCAACCAAGAACACTTAAGGGGGCACTGTGCTGCAGTATGGCACTCAGGAAAAGCAGCACAGGGGGTTGGCAGCCATGGGAGAACCTGCCCCCCAACTCTAATCCCACTGCTTACCCCGGAGTAGCCTCCACAAGTCCTATCAGCACAGCCTCCATGGTTCGGTCAGGTACTTGCTCCATCAGGCGCCAGCAGACCCGCTGCCACAGGCAGCTGCCCTGGGTGAGCACTGTCAGCTGGGGCACCAACACATCCAGGATCTCTTCTGCAGGGACACACAGAGACCTAAGCCTCAGGAGCTGCCAATGTCTGCAGTCCCTGAGGGCTCACTAATTGGCACAGCCAAGGCCCAGTACCCATATTGCCAGATCTAGGGCCAACTTCAAGAGAGGGGACCCCACTGAGGGCTGGGGTCAGCTTTGCCTGCCACTGCTATGGGACATGAGGTAATTCCTAACCTCCCAGGAGGTAGGGGGACCAGGGGGGAGGGCAGCAGGCAGTGCTCGTCCTAAAGCAGGCAGTACTTACTCTGTCTCCCCTGGATGCAGATCTTCCCCAGGACCCGAGACATGAAGGAGACAGAGCAGTCCAGGCCACCTGGGACAGAAGGCAAGACCAACTGTACAGGTGGTCACTGGGTAAGATAGAGGGAGCACCTGTCTTGGTGGGGAAACCCGCCTGGGGTCCAAATCTGAATGTGAAAACACCAGCTTACTCTGAATGATATGTAAGTACAAATCAATCTCTTGCCAGTCAAAATCTAAATGGCATGGTTTAATTCAAAAGGCCAATGATGGGGCTGGGGATTTAGCTCAGTGGCACTGTGCCTGCCTCGAAAGCACAAGGTGCTGAATTCAATCCCCGGTACAAAAAAAAAAAAAAAGAGCCAACGATGTTTCAAGAATCTCACACACATCTGCTCACTGGGACAAGCCTGATGTTACCAAAGACATGGAGGCATCAAGAGGGGTCCTGGCCAAGGGACTATGGCTGTGTGGGGCAGCACTGGGCTGTGGGCCAGGTAGTAGGTGCTGGAGGGACCCAGGGCACATGTGACCTAAGGATAAGTACTTAAGATCTGCAAAGACAAAGTTGGGCATGGTGGCATACTCCTGCAATTCCAGCACTCAGGAAGCTGAGGCAGAATTGCCATGAATCTGAGACCAGCCTGGGCAACATGGTGAGTTCAAGATGAGTCTGAACTATACAATGAGAACCCTGTTTCAAAAAAAAAGATCTGCAAGGCCTGGGGATTTAGCTCAGTGGCACTGTGCTTGCCTTTCAACCGCAAGGTTGTGAGTTCAATCCCCAGTACCAAAAAAAAAAGATCTGCAAGCTGGGCATGATGGCATAATCCCAGCACTCACGAGGCTAGGGCAAGAGGATCATCAGGAGTTCGAGGGCAGCCTGGGCTACATAGTAAGTTCAGTGCCAAGCTGAACTACAAAGCGAGACTATCTCAAAAAACAAACAAACAAAAATTTCCAAAGATGGAATCCAGTACATCACAGGAAGGACAAGGCAGAAGACTCCAGATGGCACAGACATATTCAGAACCTCCATGAAGTATCAGCTTCTCAAGGTCCTGAGTTCAGAGCCCGGTACCAAAAAAAACCCTTCAACATGTGGGTTGCCATTGTCTGAAAGAGGAGATGTCACTTGATCTGCGTGACAATATCACCCAAACTCCAAAGTCTTCAGAGACCATGAGACTTTCACTAGAGGGGGAGAGGAGGAGGGGACAATGGCCTAAGAAGAGGTACACTGAGGCAGGGGCACCTGCTCACCTCGTAGAGCATCCACAATCCCCTGTAGCACCCGAACCACCTCCTCGCCGAGCAAAGGAAAATAGTTTTGGGGGAAGAACAGGGCCAGGTTGTCCTGCTGCAGGCGGTTGCCCAAGTGATCAGGCAAGCCCACCACCTTGTTAAGCAGTGTCTCCTGCAAGAGGGTGAAGCCAGGCTTCTTCTGTGGCCGACACTGCTCCTCCATCAAAGCTGCCATCCTTCTCTGGCTCAGAAAATTTGCCAGCAGCTGGGCCATCTTCATCAGACAGAAGCTAGGGCTGAACAATAGCAGGAGTATTGGGTGGAATCCCTAAGGCCCCTCTATCTCTGGTACTTCCTTCTAGCAACATGGAATTCCCACAGTCCCTTATTACACAAACAGTCCCAACAACTTTATTATCCCTTATGTTCTAACTCACGAAATGAAGGAAAATACATTGAATTCCACTCCTGAATAACCATTTTCTAGTGGGATATGAGTGGCACTGGGGCCTGTACAGCTGCTTCAGCTTGCAATCACACTGGACACAGCCAACTCCTGCCGACCCATGCCAATTTTAGCGCAGTGCTTGCTTTTTAGCACAGTAACCTCGAAAAACCCAGTTTCTCAAAGAAAGTGTTCTTCCAAGAATTGTCAAGTAATTTTATGTCAAATCTGGGAGCTGCTTGGAGCTAGGAGTCCATGGTAGCCACATGTCCAAGAGGCCCAGCTTCTCTTGAAAGCCTAAAATGTCCCAAGGTGGCCCTAGAGTTGGCTGTGGCACCCAGGGGTCACAGAGTAAAAGACAGGGTCGGGCCAGGGATTTAGCTCAGTGGTTCTGCCACCTGCCTAGCAAGCACAAGGTCCGAGTTTGATCCCCAGTACCAAAAAAAAAAAAGACAGGCCCCTATCAGCTGGGGGAAGTGGAGGTTCTGTATGCAGCATGCACGAGTAATATGAACCCTCCTCCTGTCCTCTGACAAAGTGACAGAGGAGCGAGAGTCTTCCTAAGAGTTGCAGAGGTGGACACACCCAGTCTTGGTGTTCAGCTGTATGCAAGTTCTGTATGTAAGTTCTCTCAACGACACAGAATTTAGAGAACCTGTTGTTCACAATCACTCTGGCCATTCTATGCTTCCCATATCACTGATAACCCCATGATCAGACCAGCCCTGCTCACCCTGCAGTGCTCTCAAGAGCCTCCATCAGTACTAAGAAGGCTTGGTCAGCGGGGCCTTTCAGGAAAAAGCTGTCCCAGAGCTCCTCCAACTGGCCGTCAGGCGACAGCTCCAGCCAGACTGGGCTTAGCTTTATGACCAGACATCTGAGAAAGGCAGAAAAATGGACAGTCGCAAACTCCTCCTGTTCCTCGGGGAGGGCTGGATCCTCCGTTTCTCCCAGATACCGCTTCAGGAACCTCAGGGTGGAAAGAATGAGGCCACAGTCCTCGGAAGACGAAAGGGTGTGAATGGCTTCCCTTACGGTCAGTCGGACCACAGAGAGCGCAGGATCCATCCTACGGACAGGCCTGGGGGTCACAGGAAAGCACAAATCAGAAGGCCAAGAAGCCTAGTCAGTGTCTCCGGGTGCGGGCGAGAAGGTCTTTCTTCAACTCTCTCGGAAACCCGCCTCGGGCCTCCACCCCGCCTCCCCGTTCTCATTCGTTCCTCCTTCCTTCCAGGACTCCCATCCACTCCTAAAGATGCCCTCCCGGCAGGCTGGGCGTCTCCACCCCGCCCAGGTGACACTCCCATGGTCCCAGTGGGTGCCCCGGGCCAGCGGGTAGCGAGTCCGGGAGAGAAGACAACCTTCGATGCGCGGGGCTGCCGCAAGTCCGAGACCCCAAGCGCCAGAAGCCCGGGGAAACCGGGCCGCGAGCGGATACCCCAGGGTGTCTGCAGCAGGCACGCCCCGCCCCCGACCGCGACGTGGCGGAGACAGCGACTCAACTCACTCCAGCCCCTATCCAGACCAGGAAGTGCAGCAGCCGCCACGCTCGTGATCTCGCGCCGCCGATTCCCCGCCGCTGATTCGCTAAGGTCCCGCGGCTCCTGATCCAGCGCCGTCATAGCCGACCGGAGGCCGCGAGCTCCAGTCCCCGCCCTTAGGCGGAGCTGTCGGAATTTTCGAGCGTGAAGGGCAGGCTCCCGCGGGTCCTCAACTACGAATCTGCGAGGACGCCAGCGGCTGCCGCATCTGCGCCTGCGCGGAAAAGGGTGGACGGGGAGGAGCTAATATAAGAACTCCAAAGGGCTGGCATGGGCGGGGCCTGAGGGGCCTTTGGTTGCTGGAAGCTTGGTCTGATTGCTGCTGTGGGCTGAGTTTGAGGGATGCCGGGAGGGTTTTGAGTCTCAGGTGTGGGCGGGGCCTATGGGTTCGTAGCCAGTAGGGGCGTGGTCGGAGGGTTGCTTTCGTCCGGGCTCCGGAGGGATTTCGTGAGTGGAGCCTAGGCGGAGGCTGTCAGGTGGACCTGAGGGTGGGGCGGGGTTTCCTGGTGCCTCGGGAGGGCGCGAGGGCTCTGCACTATCTAACCCGCCATTTGAGCACGTGGCAAGTTCGCATGGCCCCTGGGGTCAAGGTCTGGCTCAAAAGTCGGAGTCGGGAAAGGATAAACAAGACAGACGATGTTAATGAGTGCGTGTGCCGTGGGCGAAGGAGGTCAGGGGAGGAGTACTGACCGCGTCCCGGGCTGTGTAGACAAGCCTAAATGGAATATCGGGAATCAATCCTTAGTTGCACGAGCTGACCCTCTGAACAGTGCGATGTAAGTCATCCCACCATGGCGGAAAGTTCTGTTGGCTGCCAGGGACAGTGGGTGGCCTTCACCTTGGGAGGGGGTGATCTGGAAAGGCTTTCGGAAGCAGTGACGTTTTAACAGAGACGAATGTTGGGGAACATTTATTCATTTAGCAATTATCAAGCAAGCACCCTTCCTGGGCAACAAATTGAGGAGATAAAGTGCCCTCTAGCAAATGGACAAATAAAGTAGGCAAACAGTGCTTCAGAAGGCAAATCAGGCAGCAAAAGGGGAGGTGGGTGGGGCATAGTGGCGCATGCCTGTAATCTCAGCACTGTGGGAGGTTTAGGCAGGAGCTTCACATATTCGAACCTAGGCAGTGCAATTTAACAATTTAGTGAGATACTATCTCAAAAAAATCTAAACGAGGAGAGGAGGACCATGGGTGAGATGTAGCTCAGTGTGAAGGCCCTGGGTTCAAGCCCCAGTACTGAAGAAATAGAGAAAGCAGATGGTGTGCTATTTTAAGTGAAGGGCCAGAGTTGCTCGGAGCCCTACATGGCGACTTTTTTTTTTTTTTTTTGAAGTACTGAGGACAAATCCAGTATGCTAGGCAAGTGCTCACCACTGAGTGCATTGTTATGAAGAAAAGATACTGAAGTAGGAGCTCAACAGGGCAAGTTTCAGAACCTAAGAGGAACGGCTCTGGCACTCTCTAGACCAATAACTCTCATACAGGGGGTCTTTTATAGGGTCATGGTGGGGAAGATTCAGTGAAAGGGGGTTGTGACTACCTGCCAAGGATGCTTGCTCAAAGTCAAGGCTTGGAATGTGCGGGAGTAGTGTTTTTTTGTGAGGTTTTTTGTTTTGTTTTGTTTTGTTTTTAGAGTAGGAAGAATTTGAGAGAAAAATAGCTTCTGTCTAAGAGAGGCAGAAGGGGGACCAGAAAGTTGGTTGCCTGCCCACACTGCTTCTCAAAGGTATTTTATGGGACAAAGCCATGAGGTGAGGTGGGTTCAAGGTGGGACAAAACTATAGTCAACTGCTGGGTATTTAGCTCAGTGGTTCCGCCGCCTGCCTTGCAAGGCAAGGTCCTGAGTTTGACCCCTGGTACCAAGAAAAAAAAAAAAAAGTTGTATTGTAGTTTAGCAGTTATGAACTTTTTACAAGGTCAATTTGGTGGATCCTGGTAAAGAAGTCTAGCATATTTGTTGTTGGTTCCATTTGTATGACAACTTGGAGTTTGGCAGCCTCATCCTGGAAGCTTTGTCTTGAAATCCAGCAGCCATAGAGGAGGGAAGTCCCTTGAACAAAACACTCCCATCAAGTAATCTCATTGGAACCTCCAAAATGATATAGGGGGAACAGATGTAACTCCCAAACCTGCTAGTTATCTGAAATGCAAGTTCATGTTCTCTAAAGTCAAAGAATGAATTCTAGGAACAACAGAGGTTAAAAGTAGGAAGAATTAGCCGGGGATTTAGCTCAGTGGCGCTGTTGCCTGCCTTGTAAGTGCAAGGTCCTGAGTTCAATCCCCAGTACTGCAAAAACAAACAAAACAAAAGTAGGAAGAATTTATTTAGAGAAAAATAGCTTCTGCCTGACACAAACAGAAGGGGGACCGAAGAGTGGGTTGCCCCAGAGTAGTGGTATTGATGTAGGGAAAAATGTAACTCCCAACCTGCTAGATGTCAGATGTGCTGAGTTTATGTTCCCTGAAACCAACAAAGGACAAAGGAGGTTAAGAATAGGGAAGATTTATTGAGAGATAACTCCTGAGAGACAGGAGGGGTGCAGGAAGTGGGTTGCCACTGAGGCCCTTTGTCAGGGATAATTTATACAGCAAAGTCACAACATGAGTCAAACTGCCATCAACCAACCTATAGGATTACAAGTTGAGCCACTTAGCTAATATTGATCCAATACAGAAACAGGTCACGTGGCAAGGGTACATGGAAAGAACAAAGGCATTTTGGGGGAAAGGATGGGCCTGTTTAGGAATCCAACCACCAGCATCCTGGTCTAAGCAGAGACCTCTTTACATCCCTTCCCCATGATATGCTTTTACACATGCTATAGATTTGTAGTCATGGGCCAATAAGGCCCAGTAATCACAGTCTAAACCCAGCCACACCCTATAATTCCCAATCACTGTTCAGTCCTGTTCTTGACAAACAACACACCACAACTTGTACAGCTTTTCTTTCTGCTTATGACCCTTTAAAAACTTTGCAGCCTGAACAAGAGTTACTGGTCTGATCTCTAGAGCCGTCCCTCTAAGGTTTGTTCGAAAGCAAATCTGTCCTGTTGAGCTTGTACCCCTGCTTCTTTTCCTTCTTGTCCTAACACTCTAGTCACCCACCTGGGTGACTGAGGTCTATATGGATTTTACTGGACCAGATGATATTAATTATAATTCCAAGTTACTTCCTATCCCTTAGGGAGGCAAGAAGGCCTGGTCATCCTGTCTTTATCTTGAGGCCTGGTCTTTGACAGATATGCCTCCAGCCTCAATTGTAATGTCTTATTTTTCTCCTGACTTCCTTGAGAGCCCAGTCCCTCTCTGACTGTGTACTAACTTCTAGCTAACTTAAGTGCCTGTAATATTATCAGTAATAGGACTGAATAATGATCTGAATTTTTTTTTTTTTTTTTTTTTTTTTTTTTTGGTACCGGGGATCAAACTCGGGACCTTGAGCTTTCGAGGCAGGCAGTGAAACCACTGAGCTAAATTCTTCTGTTAATTGTGTTACCTGGCACCTTCTCGGATCTAGTCTCTCTCCTTTTACTTTTGTCTTTGTAATTGCTGGAGTCTAACTGCAGAGGCAAAGGCTACCTTTAGTAAGATTTCCTATTAATTTCTTTAATAAAGCTTAATGAGGGCCAGGGATTTAGCTTAGTGGCGCTGTGCCTGCCTCCCAAGCGAAAGGTCCTGAGTTCAATCCCCGGTACCAAAAAAAAAGCTTAATGAGACCTTATTTTGGGGCTGGGGATTTAGCTCAGTGGTTCTGTCGCCTGCCTTGTAAGTACAAGGTCCCAAGTTCAATCCCTGCTACCAAAAAAAAAAAAAAAAAAAAAGAGAGAGACCTTATTTTATCCTTTTTCCTGCCTATGACCCCTTGTCCCTACGGGCTGATATAATGATATGAGTCACTAGTTACAGCTGTGCTGGAAGGGGGATTTAGAGGGGTCTGTGGTCAGCATGGGCCCAGTTGGATTCCTTCAGGTATCCCCAGACTGAACAGAGCAAACCTGGGGAGAGCAGAGACTGTGTTGTATACCCAGGGCCACAGCTGGCGGTCAGGTGGGGCTGAGGGAGACAAGATGGAGGGTAGGTGCGTGCCAGAGGGAATGAAGTGGGGACGGGGGACTGGCATGGGCTTCAGAGTTGCCTCCGTGGCGATGGGCCTCTGGATCCAACCTTCACTTCTGCCCACACTGGGGTGCAGTCAGTAGTACACACAGTCTGTAGAGGGCAGCCACGGTTGCCTACATGAGGCCAAGTGAGGGGAGTGGCGGCAAGGGGAAGGCCTAGGCGGGTCTCTATGGCCAGAATGTGGATTGTGGCAGGGTGTGATTGGACCCAGGACAACACTGTCCTGGGACTCCATCCCAAACTCCCCTTCCGCTGTGGACTCAGGCCTCTGCAGTTCCCACAGCATCTTCATTCCTTCCTTTTCTTTTTCTTTTTTTCTTCCCTCCTTTTCGGTACCTAGCATCCAGTAACTTCCCAGAAAAGACCCATGGAAAATAAATTTCCTGGGCCTTTGTATATAGGAAAGCGTCTTTACTCTTTGCTCCTGGTCTGTTCACACAAGCTGGATATACAGTTTTAAGTGGAAATCATCCTTGCTTAGAAAGTGTAAGGTTTGCTCTTCTGTCTTTGGCACAGTGCTGTGTGATCAGCGGTTCTCTAGAGACAGTCTTGGTCCTTTCTAGTGGTTTTCTGATGTTTGCCAAGGTGACCCTTGGGATCAGTGGCTTGTTCTCTGGCCTAGGATACTCTGAGCTCACACAAAATTGAAATCAGTGGGTGCTCTTGTGGGAAACATTTTTGTGGATTATCTTTTTATTATAAACCGGAGGCTTCGAATAACAGAAAGTTATTCTGTCACAGCTATGGAGGCCACAAGTCTGAAACTAAGGTGTCAGGCTCCCTCCAGAGACTCAGGGATGACCCTTTGTCTCTTCTAGCTTCTGGGCTCCCGGTGCCTCTGTGGCCTCAATGCTTCTCTGCTGCTGTCTTCAAGCGGCTGTCACCTGAGCCCTCTGTCTTCTGTCTCCGGGACACTGGCCACTATGAGGACAGGGCCCACTAAGATATCCAGGATAACCTCATCTCAGGATCTGCAAAGACCTTCTTTCCACATAAGGTCACATTCACAGCCCCCAGAGCCAGAACCTGGACATGACTTTTCAGGAGGTTCATTTGTTATGGCTTATATCTAGATGTCACCCCAAATCCTCATGTCTCAAAGGTGGAGCTTTGGGGAGTGACTGGATTGTGGGCATGTGATACTAGATTGGTCCACCATGGGTTACCATAGTTCTGGGTATGGATAAAGGACTTACTGAAGAAGAAAGACCCTCCCTGGTGGCAACAACCAGTTGTCTTGTACCCTGGATGAAATAAAAACTGGAAAGAAAAGCTGTGGTGCCCCCTGCTTGTCACACTATGAACTGTTTCTCCTCTGCCATGCTACCCTGGGTTGGAACCAGCCTACTATGGACTGAAACCTCTATAAACTGTGAGCAAAAATAAACCTTTCCTTCTTTAACTTGTGAGTTTTGAGTATTTGGACCAAGTAACTAAGATATCATTCAACCCACTACACAGCCTGTATCTAAAATAGGTTATAAGGGCCAGGGATTTAGCTCAGTGGCATCATCCCTGCCTCACAAGCGCAAGGTCCTGAGTTCAATCCCCGGTGCCAAAAAAAACCAAAAAACAAAATAACTTAGGACAAGACAGATATGTTTCCCTGATTTATTACATGATGCACACCTGTATTGAAATAGCACATAACCCCACTACTTTGTACAGTTTTTATGGTTTTTTGTGTATCAGTTTAAAAATTGTTGACTTACATTGACTTATGCCTGTAGCCCCAGCTACTCAACAGGCTAAAGCATGGGGATCAGTTGAGCCTAGGAGCTTCGGGTCAGCCTGGGCAAGAACCCCCACCTCAGAAAAAAACAAGCAAACAAATAAACAGTAAATAAATAAAATTTAATTAAAGTTATCTAATCCTTGGGAAAAAAATGAGTCAAGGTGTCTCCAATCATGTTTCAGTTCATTTTCCAAGGGAGAGAGACAGGGCCTCCTAGAAGGTGGCTGTGCATGGTTAGGGTGCTGGCTGCAAGGGCAGTCCTGGCTCCAGTGACTTCTGGGTCGCAGTCAAGTCCCCTGTCCTGTTTCAACTTCTTAGTTAGGAACATGACTCCATATGCTCCTGTTAAAGCCATTATTAACTCCTGTCTGCCTCTGAGCCAACCTGACAAGGCCTTGGACCCAGTAGAATGTTTTTCCAAAGAAATTGTTTGTGTTCCTTTTATGCTTGTTTCCTTGGGAACCTCAGACTCAGTCTTGAAGGCAGATGCGTTTCATTAAGGTGGCAGGAAGTTCCTGATACCCAGCCAGGACTGAAGAAGGAAAACCACTCAACTGGGGAGCTGTGGGGGATGAGGCCATCACATGAGGCTAGCATAACCTCCTACATCCATCCAGCAGAGAGGCTGGGGCCCCTCGGCTGTCAGCATGGGTCGCCCTGGGAAGAGGACCCTACCGTTCCTCCTTGTTTTTGTGTTCATGTATCTATGTGGGGTTTCGTTGCAGGAAGCCCGCCCAATAGGACAAAGAAAACCATTTTTTGAGAGGCTCCGTAGACTGGAAGAGCAGGTAAGTATACCACACTTGGGCAGACGAAGGATGGATGTTACAGACACAGAGCTGTAAGTGTTGGCACTCTGGACCTGATCGCCCAGCTTGTGGTCCTTGCTAGCAGCTAATAGTGTTCCCACCTATAGTTGGAAACTAGGGAACGGCTTGCTGGGTCACATCTGAAATCAAGCCAGATGACATATGGATGGGGGGTGGGGGACTTCAGCCTGTCAGGACCCAAGGAGCACAACTGGAGGGATCTAGGAGTCTGATGGTTCCTGGCAATGCCACTGGGTGTAGGAGCTGTGGGGTCATAAATTCACCTGGAAACAGAGGCTGTGGATGTTCCTGAGGCTCCTAGGAGGGGTTGGTAGACTATTCCCAGCTCTGAGCACTTCTACTTTGATTCTGGTAAAGCACTCACAGAGCTCATCCCATTGGCTCCTCCACTCACAGGGATGACCTTGAGGGCCACAGCAGTGAATCAACTGGCTATAGTAATCCAGAGCAGGGGTTTGGAGGAAGATAGGAGCCTGGGCTGTGGGACTGGAGTCCACACCTCACATTGCATTGCTGTGGCCCAGGGGTCAGGTACTCCTTGTATGATCTGTCTCATGGGACTGTTCATGATAACTGACCTGCATCTCCTGGCATTGTGACATAGATCAAATTGGTCAATCAATATTCAGTTCCAGCCAGTCATAATCCTAGCACTCTGGGAAACTGAGGCAGGAGGATTGCAAGTTTGAGCCCCACCAGGGCAATTTAGCAACTTATCAAGACCTTGTCTTGAAATATAAAAAAGGGATGGATGAGCCCAGGCTTGGTGGCACATGCCTGTAAATCCCAGCACTCAGGAGCCTGAGGAAGGAAGATCATGGCAAGTTCAAGGCCAGCCTGGGCTACATAGTGAGTTCACGGCCAGCCTGGGCTACATGGGGAGGCCTGTCTCCAAAAAACCTAAATAAATAAATACAGTGCTGGTCATAAACCCTGCACACAGTAGGGACTTGGTGAAGAGTAAACAGGAGAGCCTTGTCCTACTCCCTGCCACTCCCTATAATCACTATGTCCTTTTCACAGTTTCAAAGATTCCAAGAGGTCACCCTGACACACTTGCAGGGCATTGCAAACAACTACAATGTGTCCTACAATGTTGATGCCCGGTTCCAGAGGCTGACAGAAGAGAGCCAGGCTGTGGCTCTGGCAGTCAACAGGTCAGAGGCTGCCACACGGGTGGACCTGACCCGCCTAAAGATTTGGATGAGGAAGACCAAACGTCAAGCCCGGAAAGTGGATGCAAGGCTTCAGGACCTGGACCTTGCCCTGAGCAGGCAGCAGGTTTGGAAGAGGGAGGAGCAGAAGGCACAGCAGGATGCTACCTCATGCCTGGCCCTGGATGTGTCTACTTTGCAAAATGCACTGGCCCAACTGGCACACCAGGTCCATAGCCAGAGCGCCAGGCTAGCTGCTCTTGAGGGACAGCTGCAGATGGCCAACCCTGGCATTGCAGCCCAGCGGGTGATCCTGGCCCCAAACCAGCCTGTGCAGCCAGGTGTGAGCTCCCCAAAGCTGCATCAGGAAAAGCAGGCACTGAGGCCTCCACCTGAACACAGAAATCTACCCCAAGATTTTGCTACTATTTTCCAGGGGACACAGAAGCCCCCCTCCTTAAGCATCCATTGGGCATCTTCTGCCGCCCCAAGGGACCCTCCTCAGCTGGTATGGCTTCCCCAGGGACCAGGAAAAAGTAAGTGTCACAGGCCTGTCCTCCCCATCAATTTCTAGGTTTCCCATTGGCTCCTCCTAAGGCCACAGTGTCCTCACTGTCTCCACTGTCCCCACTGTCCCAGAGGCCACAAGGAGAGGACACTGGCTTCATACTCCACATATCCTGTCCTAGAAGAGGGGATAGCCTGACTCTGTCATCCAAGTGACCACCTAAATGCAGGTCCCCAGCAGGTGAAGTCACCCACATTCCCTATATGGCAGAAGGGTTTCTTCAAAGGTGGTTGAGTCAGGACTTTGAAATGGCAACAATCCTGGATTATTGGATGGGTCCAATGTAATCATGGGGCTCAGAGAGGGAGGCAGAAGGGTCAGAGCCAGAGGAGATGTGAGGACAAAAGCATAGGCTGAGGAATGCTTTCTGAACAACAGCCAAGGACTATGCATAGCTCTAGAAGATGGAAAGGGCTGGATGGGGCAGCTTGTCCTACAGAGCCTCCAGAACAAACTAGCCCTGCCCACACCTTGATTTGAACCTATAAGATATTTTGACCTCCACAAACTTAGACTGGTGGCTTTTCTTTACTTGTTTTGTTTTTGGTTTTGCATTACTAGGGATTCAACCCAGGTGTGATCTACTATTGAGCTAAATCCCCAGAGCTTTTTATTTTGAGACAGGTGTGTACCACCATGCCCAGCACCAGGAGTGTTTTCAATTATTAAATTCATTTCAGCTAGGCATGGAGGCACACACCTGTACTCTGGGAGGACTCTGGGAGGCTAAGGCAGGAGGACTGCAAGTTTTAGCCCAGCCTAGACAACTTAGCAAGACCCTGTCTCAAAATAAACAATAAAAAGGCCTGGGATCTAGCCCAATGGAAAGGCCCTGTGTTCCATCTCCAGTACCACAAATAAACAAATAAATTTATGGCAACTTGTTACAATAGCCACAGGAAATGCCAATAGAGGTTCCCCTAGCAGCAAGGAGCATAGGCAGACAACTCAGGCTCACATGGAGCTCATCCATCCCTTAGGAACTCCATTCTCAGTTTTTGGTGGAATGGGGGTCATATTGGGAGGGTAAATGAGATGCTGCCAGGCATGCCCTTAAGAGTGCCAGCACTGGGCTGGGGATTTAGCTCAGTGGTTTCACTGCCTGCTGTGCAAGCGCAAGGACCTGAGTTTGATCCTCGGTACCGAAAAAAAAAAGTGTGCCAGCACAGAGCTAGAGCTCCTGGAGCCATGGTGGCTGGAAACTTTTGGCCACCTAGAGCAGGGGGCATGCCTGCAGCACTGACGCTCCAGGATGCTTTTGGATTGCCTCATAGTGCAGAGGCTCACTGTCCCTCCCTCTGTTTCTAGTTTGCAACGCCGGCCCTGTGTTTGTTTTCCCGAATGCCTCCACTGGAAATGTGGTCTTTCTCAGCCCTGGCTTCCTCAAGGGCCTACGAGCCCTGTCCTTCTGCAGCTGGATCCGCCTGGCTTCTGGCCACCTGGGCACCCTCCTCTCCTATGCCACTGAAGAGAATGACAACAAGCTGGTGCTGCATGGCCGAGACTCTCTGGTCCCCGGCTCTATGCACTTTGTTATTGGAGACCCAGCCTTCAGGGAGCTGCCCCTGCAGCCGCTGCTGGACAGCCAGTGGCACCACATCTGTGTCAGCTGGACATCTATCCAAGGCAGGTACTGGCTCTATGTGGACCGAAGGCTAGTGGCCTCTGGCTCCCACTTCAGGGAGGATTATGAGATCCCTCCTGGGGGATCCCTTGTGCTAGGCCAGGAGCAAGACAGTGTTGGGGGTGGTTTTGACAGTGCTGAAGCTTTTGTGGGGAGCATGTCTGGCTTGGCTATCTGGGACCGGGTGCTGGTGCCTAGAGAAGTTGCAAACCTTGTCACCGGGAAAAAGCTCCCTACAGGTGCCATCCTGACTCTAGCCAATGCCACACTGGTAGGTGGATTTGTGCAGAGAATCAACTGCCTTTGCCTGGAGCACTGTCCATGAGGCCACACTCTGCAGGTCAGTGAGAGGAGTGAGCCCCCGCCCATCCTCATTGTCCTCAGCTATGCATACACACCTGAGCATACACACCTGTAGGAGGTGCAGGGCTGGGGATTTAGCTCAGTGGTTCCAGCACCTGCCTCACAAGCACAAGGTGCCATCCCCAATACCAAAAAAAAAGGAGGTGGAAGTGGTCAAGGAAACATCTGCAGCGAGAGAGGGGACCCCAGGCAAGTTCAGGTCCACAGGCTTCATCTTCCCATCTCTGCAATATTCTTGATCTTATATGCTATACCTTCAAAGTCCCTAGTCACCTCATTCGTTTTTTTTTTTTGGTAGCGGGGATCGAACTTTGGACCTTGCGCTTGCGAAGCAGGCAGCTGAACCACTGAGCTAAATCCCTGGCCCTCGCCTCATTCTTTGTAGTATGACATCATTTCACCCTGGCTTGCACCAGCCCAGCAGGAGTGCTAGATCCCAGCAGGCCTCTCTTCCCAGTGTGCCCTTTTAGTGATAAAGGGCCAGCTGATCAAGGCCTTCCCAGGGGATGTCCTCATTCCTTCCAGCTGCAGAGATGGCCATTTGTAACATCATTGGCTTCTCTCAAGGTGACTTAGGAAGGCTTTCCTCTGGGTGATGGCTGTTCCAGCATCTCTTGGGGAAAGGGCCTAAGAGTCTGTTTCCTGGCCTTTAAGACTACAGCCCCCTTCACTGAGAGTCCTGGAGGTTCTCTCAAGGGTGGTTGGTCAGTTCTTTTCTGTTGTCCTGGCATAGCTGGTAAGGCTGCCAGAGCCACAATTAAAATGGACTGGCAATGCCTTAAGTCAACTCATAAAGTATTATTTTCATATTATAAACTATCCTTTTTAAGTGTACCAGAGATTCATAGTAAATATACTGAGCTGTGCAACCATCACCATAATTTATTTTTTGAGTATTTCAGTTGCCCTCTAAACACTGCCTGTTAATGATCACTCTTGCCCCCAACCCCTGGCAACCCCATCTGCTTTCTGCCTGTGGATTGGCCTGTTCTAGATATTTCATATAGATGGAGTCAACAGCCTGTGGCCTTTGTGTCCTGCTTCTGTCTTTCAGCATCATATTTTCCAGGTTCATCTATGTTGTAGCTGGTGTCAGTACAGTATCTCACTCCTTTTTTTTTTTTTTTTTTTTTTTTTGATACCGGGGATCAGACTCAGGTCCTTGCGGTTTCAAGGGAGGCGCTGGAACCACTGAGCTAAATCCCTGGCCCATCCTCACTCCTCTTTGTGAGTGAATAATATTCCATTGTATTAGTGGACCATATTTTGTTTATCCATACAGACATTTAGGTTGTTTCCAGTTTTTGGTTATTGCAAATAAAGCTGCTGAGTGTTCTCATACAAGTCTTTGGGTGGACATATTCTATTTATCTTGGGCTGATGCCCAAGGGTGGATGGGTCATATGATAAATTCATGTCTAGGCTTTCACAGAAACTGTCAAGTTGTGTTCCCAAAGTTGCATATCACTTTACATTCCTACTAGAAATATATGAAGGATTCCATTTTTCAACCTCCTTGCCAACATTTGGTTTTGTATCTTTTGGTGACCCTTTTTTTTTTATAGAATTCAAAATCTAGGCAGGTAAAAAATGAAACCTACACTAACACTGACTACAGGCATTTTTACTGTAAGTTTCAGTGTGATATAAATTGACCTTTAAAATGGTAGAGATCCCCAATGAAGACCTAAAAGCGAGATCACAAAATAAGAATCAATTGGTATAGACAGGAGAAAAGGGTGGTGTTGGGGAAAGCATGGAGAGCTGGGCCCTGCTAAACCTGGGAACATTCACTCTGCATACCACTCTTTCATTTCATTAATTTTTTTGTGGTGCTGGGATTGAGCCAGGGTTTTCACACTGAGCTACATCCTCAGCCCTTTCTATTTCTTATTTTGAGACAGAGTCTCACTAAATTGCTAGATTTCCCAGGTGGGGCTCAAGCTGGTGATACTCCTACCTCAGCTTCCCAGAGTGCTAGGATTATAGGAATGTACCACCATACCCAGTGTCCTCCACCCATTTTAAAAGACAGAAAGTAATCTGGGTGTGATGGCACACACCTGTAATCCCAGAGGCTGAGGTAGGAGGATTGCCTAGAGTTCCAGGCCTGCCTGGGCTACATAGTGAGACCCTGCCTAAAAAAAACAAAAAAAAACCCCAGAAAGTAAGGGCGGGGATTTAGCTCAGTGGTTCCAGCGCCTGCCTCGAAAGCAAAAGTTCCCAAGTTCGATCCCTGGTACCAAAAACAAAACAAAACAAAAAAATCAGAAAGTAGACTAGATAAAGCCCAGAGCTAACTATGGGGGTCCCAAGAACTTCTGTCCTCCTCTACTATGTCCTCAGACATGGACAACTTCAGCCATGTGGAGACCTGAGCACCACCTTTCACCCACAAATAGGTAGCCAGCCAGGGGTATAGAACTGCCTAGCTGCTCTGGTAGTATCCTATATTAGCCTCTTGAGTCTCCTAGCAGAATCTCAGAGCACCAGTGCTCTGGGCCTTCAGCTCATATCAGGAGGGTCACTAGAGTCCAGGATTTCCAGGGTAGCCTCATCTAGCAAGCAAGGAGCCATCTCAAAAATAAAATAAAATAAAATAAAAGGTGGGTGTGTCATGCATTCCTATAATCTCAGAACTTTGGGGGAATGAGGCAGGAGGGCACCAAGTTTGAGCCCCACCTGGGCAACACAGTGAGACCGTGTCTCAAAATAAAAAATAAAAAAGGGGGCCAGGGATTTAGCTCAGTGGTTCTGCCGCCTGCCTTTAAAGCGCAAGGTCCTGAGTTCGATCCCCAGTACCAAAAAAAAAAAAAAAATGGGCTGGAGATGTAGCGCAGTGCAAAGGCACAAGGTGCCTCCCCCAATACCACTGTGAGACCCAACTTAGCAATACCACCACCATGTTGAGAACATTCTCCTCCATTTTGCATATGTGTGATTTCCCACTGCACTCTGTCTCCTGGGAGAAAACCCCACCCCTAACCGATGCATGTAACCGCAAGGTAAAATAAACAGAAACTGTGTTTCAGGTGATCTGCAACAAACCATTACCCAGGGGAATGGGAAGAACTAACTGTGCTTATTTTGGCTTCTGTAACCAGCTTCTGCAACAATCCGTAACCCAGGGGAATGGGAGGAGGGACTTTTTCTGTGGTTTTTGCCTTTAAATATGCAGTCCTTATTTCATTTGAGGCCTTTGTCCTCCGACTTGGTTGGAGTGTACATGGGTCCCGACCGGAAAATAAAGTTCTCCAGTAAGATCCCACGACTGTGTCGTGCTTTGGGAGTTTGTCACTAATCTAATTCGGAGATGAGATCCAACACCCTTGCCCTGTTTCCTGGCCATCATGATCTCAGCAACTTTGCTCTCCCTTGCCCTTGCACCATGATGTTCTTCCCTTGGCGCCAACAGCCATGGACTGAATCGCGTGAAAGCATGAGCTAAATTAAAACTCTCCTTCTTGGCCCCCTCCAGCCCCACGGCCTCAGCCTGTGGTGGGAGCTCCACCTGCAACAGAGGCGGCCCGACGGCGCTGGACCCGCGGACGCCGAGGCGGAGATGTAGAAGACAGAAGTAGCTGGGCAAGAGAGCTGCTTTTTACCGTTTGTGCACGTGCAGCTTCTTCCCTCTCGCGCTGCAAAGCAAACACCCACGGTGCTTCTTACCGTTTGTGCACGCGGTCCTCCACAGTCTCAACCGCAAGGATACTTTGTTGCTGGGCGCCAGAGCTGCTTTTTACCGTTTGTGCGCGTGCAGGTTCTTCCCTCTCGCGCTCCAATGTAAACACCCACGCTGCTGCTTACCGTTTGTGCGCTCGGTCCCAGCAACAAAGTGTCCTTGCGGTTGAGACTGTGGAGCAGTTGGCCGCTCCAAGAGGTACGCTCCCCCGGTTTTTGAAAAAGAAGTATCCCACACTCCCCGACAGCTCTGGTGGGCAGTTCCCTGGGCTAGCTTTGCCCCTCAGCCCTGCAAACCGCCCCCCCACGGGGGGGGGCAGGAACTTGCCCCTGGGGCTCATCTCCTGGACCCCTCACCACGCCTGCCCAAGAACCCTGGGTGAGTGCATCCCTCTTAGCCACCTTTGCTCTTGTGGATCCGCTTCTAGACGTCCCACAGCATTCTGGGCTTCACATCAGCTTTGGGGAAAGAGGATTCCGAACACGTCCTGTTCCTGGCAGACCCTTGTCTGCCTCATCCGGCAGGCTGTCTTCAGAGGAAGCTGGTGCTCTCTGCAGGCGGTTTTCAGATACCCTGTAGCTCATCCCCCAGTACGGAGGAGCAGACTGGCTCTTTGGCTCATGGAGCAACAGGCTCAGCCCAGGAGGGGCATCTATGGTCCTGGGAAGCTACGGTCTGCATTCAGGCCCGTTGAAGGCCAGCAAGGTGTTATTCCTTTTGCTCCAAGGCCTGGGCCTCTACCTAGCAACCTCTGCAGGCAGCCCTCCAGAGATAAACCTGACCCTTGCTCCCAGCCCTCCAGTGTGAGCTCGTTGATTCGGCGAAATGCCATCAGCAGCTCCTACAGCTCCACTGGAGGGTTACCAGGACTGCGAAGGAGGGGTCCAGCCTCAATTCACATCAGGGCACAGCACAGGAGGCGCACTTACGGTCCTGGGAAGCTACGGTCTGCATTCAGGCCCGTTGAAGGCCAGCAAGGTGTTATTCCTTTTGTCCCAAGGCCTGGGCCTCTACCTAGCAACCTCTGCAGGCAGAGCTCCAGAGATAAACCTGACCCTTGCTCCCAGCCCTCCAGTGTGAGCTGGTTGATTCGGCGAAATGACATCAGCAGCTACTGCAGCTCCATTGGAGGGTTACCAGGGCTGCGAAGGAGGGGTCCAGCCTCAATTCATGCTATGCCACTTCTGGGGCCCTCCAAAGATCCAAGGGAGAAAGGCTTCCAGTATTCATGTTCAGGCCCACAAGTTCCCCCGAACGCTGGGAACAAAGTGGCAGACGTGACATCGAGGCAGGCAGAAACAAGGAGGAATCGCGTGGCCACAGTGGAGGGTTCTGGGCGAGGTAAACACAAGACTCCCCTTCTGAGGCCTAGGCAAGGGGTCCCTCTGCCCCTGCCACCATCTCTCAAACTATGCCATGAGGTAACCCCTGAAGACATAGCTCGGGAGAAGGAGGCCTCATGGAGGCTCACGAACAATATTCTGATGGGGAAGTC